AAGTGCAACATCCTGGGCACTGGGTTACCCTCCCCATAGAGCTGCTCAGGTAAATCCCTGCCGTGGGGTTTGCAGCTGGCAAAGCCTTGACCCGTCTGAGCAGCAGTAAATGACACAGTAGATAATAACAGCCCCTCACTCGCTCCAAGCATCGGCCTCACCCAAAAGAGCTACGGAGGAAGAGCCCTTATTTTATCCAGATTCCCTTCAAAATTAATTCAGCTCAGCAAGTCAATCCCCCAGCCTTCGCCATTCTCTCTCTTCCGTTACCACACAGGGAAAATTCTCTGGAAGTGTTGTGAGATACAGTGTAATATCTGCATAGAACAATGTATGCATAGAATAAGGATATACACATAAATATCTTGGAAGCTTTTACGCTTCTGTCTAGAAATAAAAGAATCTTTTAACTCTTAAAATCATTGCTGTGCTTTTCCTCATTATTACTGAGCCCATCACAAATGTGTCCTTAAACTCCAGTCTCCATCCTTGGAGGTTTCCAGGATCCAACTGGATAAAGCCCAAAGCAGCTCGATCCCATGCCAGACCTGACCCTGATTTGAGCTGGAGATTGGGCTAGAGACCTCCCAGGTTCCCAGCAGACCTGAATTGTTCTGCACTTCTGAGATTCTCTGATATGACAGTCCCTAAAATGGAAGGGCTCCGAAGGAAGGAATGCAATGCCTCATTCAGATTATTCTGATAATCCCAAGTTCAGGGCACTTGGGAGACAGCAGAGCCCAGGCTCCAAATCCCTCCCCACCACAACAGCTCTCATGCAGGGCTGCAGCTTGGCCCCACACTAAGCCCCTTTAGCCCCCACATATGGGGCAGCCCCTTGCCCCCAGCCATATGTTCCCGCTGCTTTCCTTACAGAGCAACTACTTGACCTCCTGGCGAGCTGCTCCAAGGAGCTAAAAGGCAGGAAAAAAAAACAACATTTTTTTCCTGTCAGTTTGGCTTTCTCCCCTGGACAAGCACCAAGTGCTGGCATGCAGGAGCAGGTGAGAACGCGCAGCCCACGAAGGAGGCAAAGCAGCTGCATCCTCCAGGCACCACTGGCATTAGAGCCATGTAGCTGAATTAGCTCTGCCCCTGCACAGCACAAATCCAGATATTAACCTGCTTTTACACAGTGCTCGGGAGCCAAGACTGACTGATGGGCCTGACTGATAACACTAGCAGCTATATTGAGATGCACTAGTCTGTTTATTATCTCTTATATAAAGGGAATATTCTTTATCTTCTTTCTAAAAGGCAGTGATACTTAGCAACCTGAGCTACACTGCTCCATGGTTTATGCATATATTGTTCTGAGAGCTTTTCTTACAGCATTTAAATGTTCTTTTCAGTTTGAGCACAGTAAATGGAAATATGCTTACTGTGGGATGACTGCATTTGATTTATTAAATAACACTTATTCTTACATAATCAAAATAAAGGTTTTTATTCAGTTCATGATATTCCTGATTGGATATTGTATTTGCCCAAATACTTATTCCATGTAAAGAAATGTAAACGATTGATAAATACAATGTACGAGCAGCAAAATGCATTAATGCAATAATAGCAGAGAAAACTCTGGTTGCTTCAGTGCCCTCTCAGGGAACAGCTGGAATCATCTGTCTGCCAAACCGATGCACAAAGTCCGTCAGGGGGAACACTGAGCCCCATCCTACTCCGGGATTCATACTGATGAAATCATCCAAGTTCATCTTGGAGTCTAAACAAGGAACAAAGAAGGGGGAAACATTAAAGGTGCTGACTCAGCATCTGTAGCACAGGCAAATATATCTTTCAATGAAATGCCAAGAAAAAAGAAAATCACTTTGATAGTACAGATCAAAACACATGTGACAGCAAAGAGTTAAGAGCATTCAACAGGAGTCCCAGGGTCTGTCTATTCACATAAATGTGGTTACCCAGAGGAAAAGGAGATGTTCCTCTCCCTTGAAGGTCTGAACGGAGTCAGAGACCTTTTGCAGTGGCTATAAAGACACTGAATAATCAGGGCAGCAGACTCGGACAGAAACGGAGCTGCTCTGCCTTCCTCCTGCCTCTAACCCGTACTGCAGAGAGGTCTCCGAGTGCCGAGTTTAGTTGGCTCTGTATGTCACCACTGATGATCTGTGCAAATAATTTTTAATACTCATTAAAAGAAAACTGGAAGAGGAAGAGTTTAGAGAAGAGACCAGGAGAGCCAAGGGATTTACCGTTAAGCTTTTATGCTGTATTTATTTTAACGTGAATGACTCATATGCACACTTAAGGATTAAGAACTAAACAAGAGTAGGGTCTAACGAATGGATTAGAAATTCCACAGGGTAGAAACTTCTTCGGCTACTAAACACTCACATAATCAAGCTTACCATTATGGAGAGCTTAAATAAGGATGGGAAAAGTATGTTTGGGAATCCTATACCCAAACAGTCCCCTGTGTAATCCAGCCTCTGAAGCCCTCTCCTTCACATCACATGTACATTATCCTACAGCTTTGTGATCAGCCTCACCGCAGCTCTCTCCACTTCTCTGGCACCCAAACCTACCATTTTCCTTTCATTTTCCAAGTTTCACATTTTGAAATCCTTGTGTCCCTTCAAGCAGAATCCTTTGCTAAAGCGAGTCAGGCAGAACAAGGCCAAGCTGCCCGTTTCACTACGTGGGGAGTTCAATGCCACAAGGCCACCCATGTTGCAGATCAAAACCAGCAGGAGAGAGTAAGAACCGCTGCTTGCTGAGAGTAAGAACCGATGCTTTTGTTTTAAAATTGATGTGATCATGCACGTAGTTTAAGGTTTGAAGGAAGTCCCTGCTTTATGTGCACTGAGTATACTGGAATAACAATTTCATAAGAATGCTCCATGAATGGTAAAGAAGCCCACAGGGATCGCTCCAGCACAGCTACTAAACAGCTGCTGTTACCACCAACATGAAAGTTGCTATCATAATGCCTGGAGGAAGTAAAACATTCTTTTGAATTCAGAAAGATTGTGACAGAGCACAAGACAGTCCATCACAGAAGTCTAATGAAAGGAAAAATTATTTGTAAAAAGCAAACAAGAGCTTTTGCACGAAGAGCAGATGGTCTAAGAACCAGTCAGTAGATGGCACTGAAGCAGCATGACAGCTGGGTAACCACCCATTAAAAAAGGGGAAAAAAGCCCATAATGAGACCTCGCACACTGTACTGAATTGAATTGATGAGACCTGTGCCACTTATTACTCACATATTGTATCTGAATGGTGTGCATGCTATATTGGACCTTACAGCTTTAGGAAACTGCTGGGAAAAAAATGCACAAGAAAAATCCTTTCTCCGAGGCCAGTGAAAAGTTAGAACAGTTGAATTTACAAAAGAGAGATTTGGATGATACTGTTGACAAATTCAGTGGATTTCTCTACAAAGGCACAGGAGGAGCACTCACTGCATAAGACTTATACAAGCTCAAGAACAACAGATTTTTTCATCCTTTTTAAAACATTCACCTTATATTCATGGCCCTCTTTGGTCACCAACCTGCACTGGCAAGTACTGAATCCCTTTGCTACAAACACACTGCCAGTGAGACCACGGTGATGGTATTCTTGCCATTTTTTTCCTTCTTTAAATCAGGCCACTTTTGCCCTGAGCAGGGGCAAATAAAAACCCAGGCACTATCAGATGGCATTAGTAGCTCTGACGCACACGACTTCTGCCAACAGCAGTTAAAAAGCAGCGTTTCAGACTTTGGACTAACACGGCCCAACAAGAGCTGCCTAAAGGTTGGTTGTGGTCAGCAGGTCTGAACCAAAGCCACAAAGCCCAGCTCTAACTTGAGGGCACCTAAAGACCTTGGGAAGCTGGGGTCTCCCCAGACTTATCTAAATGTCTGCAGTTCTTCTCAGAGCCCCCTCTCCCACCTGGGAGGAGACAGCCCCTTGCAGGCAGACTGGAGAAGTTGTTACCATATTCAGTTGGACACAGCGACTGTGTAACTGACTGTACAAACTACCTCAGTCCATCTTAGAATAAAATGGAGTGATAGAATTTCAATAAGCCACTCAATAGTATTTAAATATTTCTATTTGCCTCTCTCACAGAATGGCTGAGGTTGGAAGGGACGTCTAGAGGTCATCTAGTCCAAGCCCCCTGCACGAGCACAATCAACTGCACTGATCAACTCGCACACATCACTGCACTGATCAACTTGCACACAAGCTCAGGAGCGAAGGACCTAACTCGGCAGATTGGAGTTTTATTCCCGGATGAGAGGAACAGAGGGGCCGTGGTGCACACGAGCTACTCGCGTCCCCATCAAGGACGTCTTTGCTCTCGCTAGGAGCCTACCACCCCCCCACAGAGAGGGCACAGCAAGACACTGCAGATGTCTGCCTGGTGTGGGTCTAACTGCCTGCCTGCCACACACACGTGTCATATCCCATCCCCAGCATTTATTAGCTCATTCTCTTAAAAAAAAAAAAAGAGAGAGAGAGACAACAATGAATTTTAATAATTAAAAAGAACAAAAAGCCTTGACAAATCAATGTTGCCATTAGTAGTGTGCAGCCACACACCTAAGGAAGACCTGGAACTCAAACCAATACTTTACAGAGCTAGAGCATATGCTAAGGGCTGCATAGAAGCAGCAGGACTGCGCTGTAATTCTGAAGTGCACTGTGCAAGCTGTGTTTAACACTGGCTTGCAGAAAGGAGGGCTGGTATCATCGGGACTCTGAAAGTAAACAGAATCAGACCCCATTAATTTGTAGCAAGAAGACTTTAAAGCAAACCCCAGGCCAGGAGAGCAGCCCTAGAATCATGAATCCCTGGTTCATATCATTATGATCTTCATTTTTATTTTTTGAATAAAACACCAGACTCTCCTGTTGTCTTTCAGCAGGCGGCACCTGGCACCCTGCTGGGACCAGGCCAGTCTGCTGCAGCTCAGGAATGTGAATTCCAACAGGGCTGCTTGGAACCTGCGGTGCTGCGAGGGGGCACCCTGACCCCACAGCTGCGCCTTGCTCATCACGTCGCTTAACCAGCTGCCGGCAGCACCTGCAGCAGCAGCCAGCATGAAACACAGGCCTGGCTCTGGGAAACAGGAATGCAGGAACCAGCTGCAAAAGGCTAATGCTCAGCAATTCCTCATCTGAGGTGACTGGAGTTTTCTGGGTTTTTTTTTTCTTTTTTTCTCCCTTTTTTTTAAAAAAATAATAATGCTAAGATGCTTGCAAGAAATAAAAAAAAATGAAGCTGTAATCAAGTTAAGCACAGACTTGAATTCACGTCTCAAAATAGGCTTGCTTTAAAATGTTTACTTTGCAACACAATGAGCAGCACAGTTAATTTAGGAATTGTTCCTTTTGGAGTAGTATTTGGAAAAAAGCTTCATTAGTTACTGACAGAGGCCCCTCGATTTAATTCCAAAAGAAGGTTAGTTCCTGTTATATTTCATTAATAATAATAATAATGATAAAAATCATCATTGGTCCCAGTATCCTGCCCCAACTCCATCTTGGAGAATTACATTATTCTATCCATGGTCCTATTTAACTTTCATTTGACTTAGATAATACAGAATCTCTGTTTCTGAAGTGCTGCATTCTGGCTCAGCAGCTGCTCTGGAAGATGCAATATTCCAATATCAAGGAGAAACACCTGCATTATTAATTTTACTTAGAGCTTTCAAAATCCACAGGATAAGAAGAGTAAGTGCAACTAACACACTTTAACATTTAACAAATGGTGGCAATGCAGCAGTACTAGAGATGATTAAACACAAAGAGCTAATTTTTGTAACAGCCTAGCACTCATACTTTGAAGAAGATCAATATATTTTTTCAGAGCCATATAAACAAAAGAAATGCAAAAAGTTTGTATGCTTTTGTAATTATATTCTCAAAAACTTAAGAATTTGGGTGCTCAAAATAACAACAATATAATAATGATAATAAAATACAATGTTCTGATCTGTCTCACAAATAAACTAATTCTAAAACAACATATGTTGGTCCATTCTTCAAACCATTAAGTTGCAGTCACTTCTGACATGAAGTATATGAGCAATTTATAATCTTATACAAACACAAATTAACATGGAAAACAAAGCATCCTATCTATTTGAAACTGGAGAAAGTAGCTATCTGTAATGGAATTTGGCATGGATGTGAAAATGAATCCCCCAGGCTCCCTTACAATAACAGGAGGTCAGCCACCCAGTTTTCCATCAAGTTTAAAATAAGGCGTTTTCATGCTTGACAAAACCATGCTGAGACAGTAGTTTAACTCTGTCTCTAAAGGAAGAGAACTACCAGCTCCTACCAGAACTTCCTGCCTTGCTGGCAGGGCTGCTCTCTACATCTACCTGCTCCTGGCAGGGTGCTGGGATTCCTGCTAGCAGCCAGCACTGCATCACTAAGTACAAGGCCTAGATTCAGCCAAAATTGAGGCACATGCAAGTTCCACACAGCAAAACCCAGACCTCTCTATGCCTTACAGCACTGGGGACACAGAGGCACCAAGTAGTACCAGATGCCTCAAGTGATCAAAGACAAGATAAAACAAAGCTTGAGAAATCAGCACTGAAATATCATCCTAGATCTGATACAACCCATTTCTGCTGTGACAGAAACCTTGAAGTTACATAGTGCAAGCACCATCGGTTTCCCTGATTTGCAGACAGTTACAGTTACTCTCATTTGCAATATTCAGCACAAAGAGATGGAAATATCTCATTGCAGAGCTGCAGTTCTGAGTTCAGCTTTGCACTCCCCAGTACAAGAAAGATACTAACATAGTGGTGTGAGTCCAGCAGGGAACACAAAGGCGGCTGGACACTAGAGAACATGACATATGAGAAGCTCGGAGAATACATAGGCCTGCTGAGCCTCAAAAAGAGAGGACTGCAGGGCAGGCAATCTTTTGGCTAATTACTGTTACTTGATCAGAGGGTACTGGAAAGGCAGAGCCAGAGTCTTCCTGAGGGCACCTGATGACAGGACAAGAAGCAACAAACACAAGCTGGAACATGGGAAATTCCAATTAAATATCACAACATGAAAATTATCTTGAAGATGGTCAAATACTAGAGTAGATTGCACAGAGAGGCTGTGGACTCTCCATACATGGAAGTGTTCAAAACTTAACTGCACATAGCCTTGAGCAATCTTACCTACTTTGACCTGATTTGAGCAGGGGATTGGACTGGATGACCTAAGGAGGTCCCTTCCAACCTGAAGGACTCTTATGATTCTCTCATCTGACCCATGCAGCATGGCATAGAGTAAAAAAAACAAAACACAGGAGGAATGAGGGTTCATGCATCTACCATCAACACAATCTGGGAAGTGTCTGAGATCCTCTGCCTGTGAGGTAGAGCTCAACCAAGCAAGACAGATAAAGGGAGAATCTAAGGGTTTCTAACCACAGAGGCATTCACTGCAGCTGACTACATCTATACATCTGCAAATTTTTCATTCATTCTGTACCTTAGTGTCTGCAAGTAATGTTTTCCACTATTTTGACTTGACTAAAAGTTCCCTCTTCTTGGTACATGCTTGCCTGACATTCATCACACTTATTAGCTCTCAGCTCTTTCCACAGTAAGGTACCAACAGGGAAGAAACCTTCTGTATTTAGGAAGCTCCAGCTAACTGTGAAGCACACACTGCAGTTTATGCAACCTCTACTTGCTACATTAGCTTTTCATACTAAATAACTGAAGATGAGAACCAAGATCTATAATTTAAGGTGCTTCATAATCAAAATGTCTAAAAAACACCAAAAGCTTCACAAAGAAAACTACATCTGTGTAGGAACCCACATTCACCACTCATTTTTATCCTAATGTGAAGCACCAGACCTTTTAGAGGCCAGGGCAAAGATTAAGAATCAACTTCCCTGCAACTAAAAACCCCAACAAGCTTCACAATCCTGAATCTAAAATAGAAAACAGGTCTCTCTGACCCTACTTTATTGAATACAAATACACAGCTTTACTGTTTTATTAAAAAAGTAGCCAAAACACACACAGCAATAACAAGAAAACACTTTCAAAATAAAACTTCACCACCCTTTTCTCCATCTGCAAGGAAAATGAAAGAACAAATAAACACATGGCAAATGTTAGCCAGATTGCCCAACACATGGCTAGAAGAAACCGAAATACCATGCAGTAAGAATGATCTAGGAATTTTTATAGAAGAGATGGCAGCTCTTCTGTGCTGGGACTGAATTATTACTTAAAAGAGGCCCTAAGGCAGCTTGATGCAAAGTTTGACAACTTGCCACTCTACCTTGGCAGCATCTTTAGAGCCATTCACCTGAATCAGACAGCTCAAACACTGGAGCAGGCAAGTCTACTACACTAAACCGAGCCAAAAAAAAACCTCTTCATTCTGTCAAAATAATTTACGCTGCAAGAACTGGACCTGCCACCTAAAGCACACTGCAATTAGGGTGCAAAAATATCACTTTGTGATCCTGAGCAGGTTACGTGATCTTGCTCCAGTTGCTGGTTACACTGAGAGAACAATTCTCTCACCCCTCCTTCTCTGCTCAGTTTATGAAGACTAATAATTAGTGTTGGATAATGGTAAATGCCAGGAGGCTTGCTAGACTTCACATACTCGCAAGAGGAAATACCGAATGGTTCACAGGCTTACATTTTCACATGCAGTAATGTGCTTTGGGATGGGTTATAGAAGCATGCTTGACTCACATCTTTGACTGTATCATTGATCTCACAAAAAGAAAAAGGAAAATTATGAAGTCCAGATTGAGTTCTAGCACCTTACCTGCAGTTTCAATGCAAGGGTAGGAAGGAGGAGGTTTCTGCCACTTGCCATTGGCATCTTTCATATGAGAACGGTCTGAAGCAAATGTCCTCAAGTATAAATCTGCTCGAATCATTCTGATTTTCCTAAACAATAAATTTACATCAGAAGATGGAGACAATATAATACTGCCTTTGTCACAAAGAACAAGAGCCCATTCTTTCTCACAAAGGGCATTAATTTAGCTAAGCAAGTAAATCAAAAATACTATGTCAAGCAGCTAAATGGTTGACAGGAAAGCATGGCAGGAAAGAAGAGGGCTTCTGACGACTAAATGAAGGTACAAAGAACAAGAGCCCATTCTTTCTCACAAAGGGCATTAATTTAGCTAAGCAAGTAAATCAAAAATACTATGTCAAGCAGCTAAACGGTTAACAGGAAAGTATGGCAGGAAAGAGGGCTTCTGACGAATAAATGAAGGCAGCTCCAGGGGCTTTAGAAATAGAGTGAATTTAGTTTCCTGGAGTATAACAAAAAAGCATCTTCATTATTCTGCATGAATCAAGACAACTTAAATGTGGTCTTCCCAGAACAACATTACTGTTCTTCATCTTTTATGTCCTCACCTTTGAAACTCTGGGCGCAGGCAGTCATCCAGCCTAAAGGCCTCCGCACTATACACATCAAAGGAGCATGGAAATGGCAACACCGTGTCCAGGTCATATATGAAATTCTGCTCCCCACTTGAAACATGAAGCAAAATAACATGGTAGTCCTGAGAGGAAAGACGATTGCTATTAGCAAAATAGTTGCTAGTGAGAAATGAGGAAAGGGAATGAAAACGTCTTTCCTAAAATCAAGGTTTGTAGCTCCTGTTCTTTAAATCTAATGTTCTGCCCCCACTGTTTCTTTTAGGAGGCTCCTGGTACTGTCCCTATTTTCTAGTGGTCTGCTTTGATTTAAAACTACACAGGCAAACTGAAGTGCACACTATACTCAGAAAACAGCAGAGATGCCTCCCTCACATACTGCACCAAAATACAATGAGAATTTGAGTGGAATAATGCATTTCTGGCTTAGTTCCATTTCTCAGTAAAAGCTCGCAGCAATGTATGATATATTAACATCACAAATATCTAGCAACCTATTTTAATAAGAGATGTTTACCTGCTGTAATAACACAGGCTGTGAATTTAGCTGCCAGAATCAGCTGAAAAAGCAGCATGTGACTCAAAAAAAAAATCTAGACTATAGAAATAAGATGAATTTCTGCAAAAGCTGGGGAAAAATGGGTATAATATTGCACTGCTCTGCCTTGACACTTAAGTTCTGAGAAGCAATTTTACTCCCTAACATACAAAGCATGTAGGTATGGAAAAGAGTCCTTTCAGGTTTGGGGAAACTGGAATTACTTTTGTTTTGGTACGAGTTACTAACACTGTTGTTTTGCAGAACTAAATTAGCTTGTTAGTAACCACAGCTAATAACATGAACAGTAAATCCACTCACATTCTCAATATTGAACTATGCTAACCATAAGGGGATTGGAATGAAAAAGATCTTGGGAAAGCTATTCTGACAGACCACAATACTAAGTGGATATAAAACTGTATGTAAGAACTGTGTTTAGAAAAACATTTACAGAGTATAATAAAAAAAAAACTTCAAGCTGCACAAATTCTGCATGCACCACAATACTAAGTGGATATAAAACTGGATGTAAGAACTGTGTTTAGAAAAGCATTTACAGAGTATAATAAAAAAAAATAACTTCAAGCTGCACAAATTCTGCAAGGCATTGCAATATCAAAAAAATAGCTTTCAAGCCATGAATTTGAAAGAAAACTAACATTTCACAGAGGGCTTCTCTGACTCTTCTATTCCTCTCTTTCATCATAGGCCTTTTTGATAACATTCAGATTTATTTTCAAAATAAACCTTTTTAAAAAACTTTATAAACATGCCAGCATTCGGGGAGAGAATTAATTATTCCTGAAGCAATTTAAAAGACTCAAGCATTTTGTCATCTTTTCTTCCAAAAAAAATCCTCCCCATTCTGGCATGATGCATATCACGTGTCTAAAAGTGCCGAGAACTGAATTTGGATTTATGCTACATTTCCTGATCTACAAAAGTAACATCAAACTAGAAGAATGCTTCTGCATTAACAAGATAACTGGAAAAAAAAAAAACACTGTAATGACATACATTCAAAAGAAATTCTGTAATGGCAATTACTGAGTTACATTCATTACAAATAACACTGTAAAGCCATCACTTAAGATCAATTTACATGCTGACACCTGAAGAAATGTACTGTTTGTATTTTTCCATCCTGTGCCAAGTGCATATAGGTATTTTCATTCATTCGCTTCTCAAAAGTACAAACATCTCTTCCTTGAAATTCTGCAAATTTGATGGCTTTAGAAATATATGCAAAACAACTTTCACAAGCTTGTTATTCCTTTTTACCAATGTTCTTCATGTGTATATTTTAGTGAGTATCTCATTATTACATTACTACAAGCAGTAAAAAGGAGAGCTGATTTACAGTGCTTATGTATCTATTGTAGAAGAATAAATACTGGCATTGTGTCATTAACACAGAACTTCAGCACAGAACTGGAACTTGTTAAAAATACAGCTAACATTACCTATGTCTGATTCTGCAGATGCCAGTTAGGAAAGCACACACTAAAAAAAAAAAAAAAAAAAACAAACAACAACAAAAAAAAACCTTAAAGACCTATACAAAAAATAAAATAATTTAAAAAAAAAATCACATAAAAATACATAAAGAACAAAATCCTTTACCCAGACAACAGGTTCATCTCCATGTCCAGATTTCTGCTTCCATAGGGGAATCTGAAAGTCATACATAATTCTGAATAAAGATTAACACAAGTAGGTCTTTGCCAGCCAACACATCCCACCTGCTTATACCTTGCTGCAGGAAAAACATAAATAAATAAAAAATAAAAACAGCACCAGTTTTGACCTTTTCAGAGCACTCAGCTGCAAACAGTATTCTGGACCATATGAATACATCATCCTCCTACACGGCAGGTTACAGGTACGATGCATGGCCTTACAAGCAGCATCAAATGCATGAGATAATATGGAAATATGGATCCTCGATATGGATCAGCTTGAGCTGGTCCACAGACCCCTGGCCACAGGCCCCAGCACCCCAAGGCCTTCGGGGCTGCAAGGCCAAGGCCCCAAGCGCTTCCAGGCTCCTGCAGCCACGACTCACCATCCTCCTCTCGTTGGAGATGAAAACCGCATAGAATTCCTCCAGGGGATACTGATCCTGGCTTCGGATGTAGTCGCACAGCTTCCAAACGTTTTCTTCACTGCAAAACACAAGGATTTCGTTTATCTTTTCTTTCCTCCCTCCTGCTCGCAGTCTCGCTTCCAGCAGAGCCCCGAGCTCAGGCTCCTGATCTGAGGCCTCCGGGCTCACACGCTCAGTTCCACAGCCGGAATGGCACCCCCTCGTCTCCACTATGTTTTTTCCCCCTTATTTTTTCTTTTTAAAATTCAGACCTATAGACCTCGGCCCTTCCCAGTAGCAGCTGGTGTAGACGCAGGCG